TTGCGGGCAGGGCATGTACCATTCTGATGGAGGAGGCGTACAGGTCGAGGTTCTCGATCCATCCCGGGGCCACTAAGATGTATTTGGATCTGAAGAGAGACTATTGGTGGCCCTGTATGAAGAGGGATGTTGCATGGTTCGTTGAGAGGTGCTTGACCTGTCGCAAGGTCAAGGCCGAGCACCAGCATCCACATGGCAAGTTGCAGCCGCTTGAGATTCCCCAGTGGAAGTGGGAACAGATTTCTAAGGACTTCATCACTAAATTGGCAAGGACCGCGAGCAGTGTTAATGCAATTTGGGTGATCGTCGACCGACTAACGAAGAGCGCTCACTTCCTTGGTATTAGTGAAAGCTCTTCTGCAGAGAGATTGGTAGAGTTGTATGTGAGGGAGGTGGATTGCGACATGGATTACCGATCTCGATCGTGTTAGATCGAGATGTACATTTCACTTCGAGGTTCTTGAAGAAGTTCCATGAGGAGTTGGGAACGAGGCTGCATTTTAATACCGCTTACCACCCACAGACGGACGTACAGAGTGAGCGGACGATTCAGACGCTTGAGGACATGCTTCGAGTATGTGTATTGGACTTCGGAGGAATTTGGGACACGCATTTTCCATTGGCTGAGTTTTCCTATAACAACAACCACTATTTGAGTATAGGTATTCCTCCCTTCGGGTTGTTGTATGGGAGGAGGTGTCGGACTCCCCTCTGCTAGGGAGAGGTGGGGCAGCGAGTGATGGGAAGCACTGAGATAGTGCCTTAGACGACAGAACAGTTACAGCAGGTCAGACAGAGATTGCTGATATCCCAAAGTCTTCAGAAGAGTTATTCGGATAGGCGACGATCCGAGCTTGAGTTCCAGGTTGGAGATTTCGTACTCCTGAAGGTATCTCCTTGGAAAGGAGTGATCCGATTCAGGAATAGGGGCAAGTTGGGGCCCCGGTACATTGCTCCGTCAGGGTGACCGCGAGGGTGGGCAGGGTAGCATATCGTTTGGAGCTACCTGCGGAGTTAAGCCAGATTCATGATACCTTCCACATGTCTCAGTTGAGGAAGTGTATAGCCGACGAGTCGGCGGTGGTGCCGCTGGAGGATATTCAGGTGGATGCGAGTATGAATTATGTTGAGAGACCGATCGCTATCCCGGATTGGAAGCTCAAGGTTGTGAGGAACAAGGAGGTGCCTCTAGTTCAGGTCCAATGGCAACATCTAAGAGGGTCCGAGATGACTTGGGAGCCGGAGTTGGAGATGCGGGAGCAACATCCTAAGTTGTTTTCCGAGCGAGACTTCGAGGGCGAAGTCTGATTCTAGTGGGGGAGAATTGTAACAGCTGGATTTCTAGGTACCATATTTAAATTGTTTATTTTGAGTTATGAGGAGGGACTCGATGAGTTGATGCTTGGACTCATCGAGTAGGATCGCGATTTGCTGACTGGATTAATGAACAGACTCGACGAGTCGATGGGTAGACTCGATGAGTCCGCGCAGTGGATAGAAACCCTAAATCTTTGGGCATGTGCCCTATTTAAGGGTCCTTATAGCCCTCATTTGTGGCTACCAGTCCAGAGAGAGAAACCCTAGAAAGCTTGGACGAGTTGCGTGAGAGAGAGAGCGTTTTTGATCTTTGTTAGTGTGATTTTGCCAAGAAGAAGGTGTTTCCAGCAAGAGGAGGTCAAGGGGATTGCTATTATGTGGGTTTCCAGCTTAGATCTGTAACTTTGAGGTAGTAAATTGATCCTTCCTTCTGTTTAGTATGAGATCCTTGAATTTTAGGGTTTTCTATACCCTTTATTGGCTTGAAATGTTGAGTATGTTGTCCCTTTGAGTGTTAGACTCTGGATCTGGACCTCTAGAGGTCCAGAGGGCCTTATCCATTTTGCTTTATGTGGGTTCATGGAGGAAATGAGACTATGTTGCCATTTTAGAAGCCATTTCACCAAGGAAAGCCTTGTGTGCGTTGCATGAATATCAAGACTGAACCTTTGTGTGATTATTGTGTCTGGGAAGGTCAGATCTATAGGTTAGAGAAGCAGATCTGACCTCAGAAGGTCATTTGAGTGTGGCCATGGGAGCAACTCGCCGAGTTCATAAGTGGACTCGACGAGTCGAGTCGGGGTTTCCCCGCGATTCGTGACAGGAGTAACCCGTCAAGTGAAGGGATGACTCGACGTGCCAAGTGAGGCTAGAAGGATTTAGAGGACCCCACATGGACTCGCCGAGTCTCCCATGTGTACTCGACGAGTCGGGTCAAAGTTTGACCGTTGAATTTAGTTGACCTTAGGGTTTTGGTCAAGACTGATTAAAGAGAGTTCAGGGAGAGGTAGAATGGCCTTCTACCCAATCTTTAGAGATGAGACTATGAGAGGGTATTGATCAGGAATATTTTTCGAATAAAAGGAGGAGGCTAGGTCGGGACATCGAGCACGAGATTTTATCCAACTTTATTCGAGGTGAGTCTTCTCACTATACATTACCTAGAGTGATATCTATGGGTAGACCGGGGGGATCTTGTATGTTATGTGTATGTATGAGATTATGTGCATTTTGTTATATGTATGCTATGTGTTGTATAGACCGGACTGGAGGGTCCAACGATATAGACCGGACCGAAGGGTCCAACGAAACAGACCGGACCGTAGGGTCCGATGACATATGACCGGACCAGAGGGTCCAACGAGCTACGGGACTGGAGGGTCCCGTTGAGACACATCGACCGGAGGTTCGTACTATAGCCTCGAGTGGCGTATGTTTTGTATGTGGTATTTTGGGGAACTCACTAAGCATTTATGCTTACATTTGTTGTGCTATGTGTTTCAGGTACTAGCGAGGATCGCGGGAAGGTGTCGGCATGATCCATACACACTCATAGAGTTTATATATTGAGATTCTGGGATGTGTTTTGTTATGATAACATTGGATAGAGTATGTTTGAATATTATCTTATGAATAAAAATATGTTTTAAAAATGAAAATTTGTTTTGAAAATTTACGTTGTTACAAAATCCAAATAATATAACTATATTTATATATACGGTCTTTTAACTTAGCTTACATTTACAATAAATATCCTATCTTTATTTTGGTGTAAATGAATAGCACTACATCGAATCAAAATAATATAGCTATATTTATATTTATGATCATTTAACTTACCTTATATTTATTGTGTTTGACAAAACAGTTATAAATAAAAATTATAATTTTTATTTATTGAAGTTGCGGAGGACTATCAAGTTATGTTTTTTATGGTTCGTTTAATTATCCGTGTTCATTCATTTATCGTTTAAGGTTAAATGAACGAACATGAACAAATCTCTATTCATGTTCAGTAGGTTCGTCTTGTAGTCCAATTGATGTCGTTAATATTAAAACTTTAAAACAAATTAAAATTGAATTATTATATGAAAATTGGTATAATAAAATTGAGATACTATACAACATAAAAATGATTACGTAATTATAAAAAATAAACTTGATTATATAAATATACAAAATGAAATTAAGATATCACATGAATTCCTATATAAAATATTCAATAGTTGAAGGTATAAATTAAAAGTTTAATATATGTCAAATAGTTATAGCGTAGTTAGATACATATTACAATGTTATCATTGTTCAATAATCATTATATTAAGTCCCATCAATTGGGATTAAGGTAAGTCAAAGTGGTTTTGACTGGTATTTGACCTTTAAATCGGTTGTCTTTAGAATTCCTGTATGTTCCAAGCCATAAGCGTTAAGACCTAAGACATATATAACATAAGTCATTGGCCCATTGACCTAGGTATAAGCCTTAATACTTAACCACAAGCTACACGCCAGAAGCCTTTAGGTCAAAGCTCTAAGCTCTATGACGTATGCCCTAAGCCCTACCCCTAAGGCCTAAAGCTTTAGCCAAACGTATTTTGGTTTCAAATAATAGTTATATTTATATCATATATTAATTATTAAATTTGTATACTATCTTTTTTTCTTTCATAACCACCACCTAAGCTGCCACAACCATAATCACCTTCAACAACACCAATACCACCATTACTACCTATTTTCAACACATCACCACCTCAGCCACTCCTACCATTACGACCTCCAAGACTATCATCACCATAATTTCCACAACCACCAACTTTACTGCCACAACCACCACCTTCGTCGCCACAACCACAACTACCTTCACCTACACCAATACCACGATTACCACCTTCACGACCATCACCACCACAACCACCACCACCGTTTGACACTTTTTCAACTGGTCTGGTCAATTCAAAAAACAAGATGATATTGGATTTAGGTATGTTTGGGTATAAAACACTATAAAACTACATCGTTTCGTCAAGAACCCACCGAATCTCATTCCTAGATTATACATGTTTCTTTTTCTCATGCATATGGTTTGTTTTCTTCTCTAGCTGATAACAATCTTATCGATTGATTGCTCATATGAAACCGTAAACCCACTTGCAATCGTAACTCCTATCATTTGCAATATCAAATCTCTAAGTTGAATCTTCAAATAGTAGTTCTCCGTAGGGGTGTGTATGGTGCGGTTTGGTTCGGTTATTGGTTAAAACCGAACCATAACCATTATGATTGGTTAATTCATTTTGGTATCCATTGGGTATGGTTAGGGATAATGTCACTGTAGCACATGGAACTTTTAACGTTTGGCTAATTTGGTCCTTAAAGATTTTTTTTGGCACATTAGACCATTAAAATCGTAACTGGCCTTGTAATTACACCATTTTAGCAACTTTTAGAAGGTTTCCTGGTTATACGATGCCATTTTGTCAATTAATATATATTTTTTGTCTAATCTGATGCCACGTGAGATATGCCACATCAATTAATGAAATACGACGCTTAAATCCTTTCGTCTTCAGCTATCGAACTTCACTAGTCTTCTTCTTCATTATTGAGCTGTAAAAGAAACTGATTTAGGGTTTGTGAAGCATTCTTGTGATCGAGCTGAAAGAAACAAAGAACTCGCAACAATGGCACAATTGGAACCTAATGGACTATTTGCGATGGTGGAACTCAACTACCAAGGGGTATTTAATCGAAATCCTTTCTCTTACACTGGTGGTGTTAAAACCATCTTCAATGATGTTGACTTTTCTTCTATGACTTATTATGAGTTTGTGACCTTCTGCGAACGTTTCATGCATGAAGAGTGTAAAAAGTTTTACTACTGTGAACCAGACATGTCCTTCATGGAAGGCCTTAATCCCATTTCAGATGATATGGAATATTCTGCTTTTATTTTTGATGCTTATGGAACAGATGGTGTAATTTTGGTTTATGTGGATCATATTGGGGTTGGTGTTGATGGGTGGCATGATGATGAAGATAATGATGATGATGAACATGAGTCTGGTATTGATGGTGAAAATGAAGACAACATAGATGAACTTAGAAATGTTGCCTTTGAATTTAATGAGGATGTAGTGCATATGAATAGGACATCAAATGATCCTTTCTTGAGTAAGCTATGTGTTGATGATGAGGATGCAAACAACATTGTAGATGATGACAATGGGAGAGAAGTTGAAGTTAACATACAATGGATATCAATTGTGTTTTGAAAAAAATGATCAGACAAGACTTTTGGTGAGGTGTAGCAAAGGTGCTTGCACATTTAGATTATGGGCTTCCTGGATGAGTGATGAAGAGAGTTTCCAAATCAAGTCACTAAAAGCTGATCATAATTGTGCTAGGAACTTCAAGTTTGGATCATTGGTGACATATGCATGGATTGGGAGTCACTATACCAAAGAGATTGTAGAAAGTCAGAAAATAAGTGTAAGGAAGCTTAGGTTAAAGGTAATGGCCAAGTTTGGTATCCAAGTTAGTATGGGGCAATGTAGAAGAGCAAAGAAGTATGCACTGAAACTTGTTGAAGAAACCTTGTTGAACATTATGGTAAGCTATGGTCATATGGTCATGAGATTTTAAGGACAAATCCTGGGTCAACTGTGAAACTAGATATGGAGGATGGGCCAGATGGAAAGAAATATTTTAGCAAGTTCTATTGTTGTTTTCAAGGAGTTAAACAAGGTTGGATTGAAGGGTGTAGAAGGGTAATTGGTCTTGATGGATGTTTTCTTAAAGGTGTTTGTAAGGGAGAATTGCTTTGTGCTATTGGGAGGGATGCAAATGACAAGATATATCCTATTGCTTGGGCAGTGGTTAATGTGGAGAACAAGCAGAATTGGAAGTGGTTTCTAGAGCTTCTCATTGATGATCTACACTTGAATTTAGGCAATGGTTTCAGTTTAATGTCAGACCAACATAAGGTTAGTATTTTACATAGTAATGCATTTATGTTAATTTTAGACTATCTGAATTTAACCTTTTTACTAATACATGGTTTGATAGAGGCTGTTAAAGAGTTGCTGCCATATGTAGAGCACAAGCAGTGTGCTAGACATATTTTCCAGAATTTGCAGAAGAGATTTACTGGTGCCATATATCATACCTTGTTTTGGAGAGCATCTAAAGCCACAACTGAGCATGCTTTTAAAGTTTTGATGAAAGAAATTGAGACATTGAACCCAGAAGCCCATCAATATCTCATGGAGAAAGATCCTAAAACATGGTCTAGAGCTTTCTTTCAAATTGGAAGGTGTTGTGATGCAGTTGAAAATGGGTTCTCAGAAAGTTTTAATGCTGTAATAGTAGATGCTAGGAAGAAACCCATAATAACCATGTTAGAGGAGATAAGATTATACATGATGGACAGAATCTACAACATGAAATTAAAGGGACAACAATGGGGAAATCATATTTGTCCAGAGATAAGGGATAAGGTGAATTTGCTTAAAAAAGCTCAAAGGCATTATCAGGTACTACCAAGTGGATTAAACCAGTTTGAGGTAAGGGGAGCAATAGATGCATATGAGGTGGACTTAGAAAGAAAAACATGCTCATGTAGGTTGTGGCAATTGAATGGATATGGATGTACTCATTATGTAGCTAGCATATCCTTTCTTAATAGGGATGTAGAAGCTTATGTAGACAACATGTTTAGCACAACCACATTTGGAAAGGCATACAATTACATAATTACTCCCATGAATAGCAGTGACATGTGGCCAGAGACAAACTATACTCCACCATTGCCTCCTATTAATAGAAGGATGCCTGGTAGGCCAACTACTAAGAGGAAGAAATCCACTACAAAGAATACAGGAACACACAGGGTTTCTAAGACTAGAAAGAAAATCAGATGTAGTATTTGCAAGGAGATAGGTCACAACAAGGCCACTTGTCCACAACGAAGGCCCCAAAAGTTAAATGTAAAGAAACAGAAGAAACAAAAAGTATGTGTGAACCAAAATGCAGGACAGGTAAAACAATTTAAAATATAAGATTAATTACATATAATTTGTTACTAATATAATTATATCATGCCATGTAGGGTAGTACAGGTGAACCACAACAACATGAAGAGGTTGAAATGACTCCAATTGAGATGGATACTACTCAAAATGATATGCAAGTTGCTCCTACTGATGTTGAATCTAGTAGTGTAGGGGATTTTATTTAATATGTGCAATTCACTCCACCTAGAAGTTATGAAGGTGATGAGGGTGTTATGGGTGAGGAAGCTGATGTGGTTGAGGAAGCTGTTGTGGTTGAGCAAGTTGTTCAAGATGAGGAGGCTGAGGAGGTTGATCCTGTTATACAAGTTGATAATGTAAATGTTCAGGAGGTTGATGAGGTTAATCATAATGCCCAAGTGGATAATGGTAATGTTCAGGAGGTTGCTCCTGTTAACCAAGTTCAGCAGGTTTGTGTTAGGCCAATTTCAGATATTTTGAAGAGGATAAGGAGAAGAAAGTCAGAGAGAATACTAAAGCTGAAATTAGGCAAAACAATTGGTGGTGTTGATGATCCAGGAAATTCGAAGGGAAAAGCTCTTGTAATTGATTAGTGTTTATTGTAATTTGTGTTTAAAGTTTATGTAATGGGATGATGATAAATTGGATTTTAAGTTTATGTAATAGGATGATGGTAATTTATATTTAAAGTTTATGTAATAGGATGTTGGTAATTTATATTTAAGTATGTGTGACATTAAAGGGTATTTTGGTCATTTAAGTATGTATGAAAGAAAAAGGGTAATCTGGTCATTTAAGTATTTATGACAGAAAAGGGTATGTTGGTCATTTATTTATTGATGACAAATAAGGGTATGTAGGTAATTCATTTATGTATGCAAGAAAAGAGTAATTTGGTCATTCCGTATTTATGATAGAAAAGGGTAATTTGGTCATTTATTTATTGATGACAGATAAGGGTATGTAGGTAATTCATTTATGTATGCAAGAAATAGGGTAATTTGGTCATTTAAGTATGTATGATAGAAAAGGGTAATTTGGTCATTCATTTATGTATGTAAGAAAAGGGTAATTTGGTTATTTAATTATGTATGATAGAAAAGGGTATGTTGGTCATTTATTTATGTATGCAAGAAAAGGGTATGTTGGTCATTTATTTATGTATGACATGAAGTATGAAAGTATGTTACCATTTTAAGTAAAATCATGACATTTGGCTTTGAATATTTATGCATGGAAAAAATTGGAATAATGTGCATGCATAGGGATGTTTTATATGGCCCCGGATTTGGTTTTTTAATGGCTTCACAGGTCCCATTTTTTCATTATTAAAATGGTCCCCATACACATAGTGTACTTCCACATGGACCACTTCCTAATTAAATATATTTGTTGGGAATATAGACCATGCATATGTTTGATAAACATCATCTGGGACTTATCATATGCCCTTTCATTAGGGACTTACCACCTTACAACATCAACACATTAAATACAAGGGATCCCAAAAAAACAAAAGCTTACCCTAACCAACCAAACTAACTACATTGACCCCCCTAACTTCAAAACATATAGGACCAAGCAACCAAACAACAGGGCAACTATCATCCTGTACCTGCCTATTGACTTCATTGCATCATGAACTTCTTTCTCACTCTTTGCCACCTTATACTGCTCCTGTGACAGCAAAAACTCCACTTCAGCAATCCTTCTCCTCAAATTGTTCATCTCAGACATTTCATCTTTGGCATCCAGTTTCTGCTTCAGAGAATATAGCAGGTTTTTGTAGTACCCGTCTGCCTGTTCTTCATCTTTCCATTCAAAGAAGCTACATTTCCTCAACCTAATCTATAAAAAGACAATAAAATTAGGGTTTGATTGACAATCACAAATCAACTACCTTTAATGTACCAGCGAAATGGGTTTTATTCACAGTGATCGTCAAGAAGGAAATAAAATTAGGGTTTTTAACAGATGAAACAAAATACAAATACACCATTGTCGTTTTTACAGAAACAAACAACACATCAAACCATAAAATACTAACTTATCAAAATCAAGAGAATCGGGACCTACCATACTGTTTTGACAATTCCAAAATCGCCTCCTAGGGTTTGTTATCTTCTAACAAGTTCGTTCTTTAGCTGGAACGACACAATCACAAATCTTTACCCCTTCTTGCGACTGAACATGAGTGACTTATAGCTGATTCCTTGACGTCGATGAGCTCGAAGACATTCTTCTTCAGGATGGAAATAGTCGGGGAGGGAGAAGTCTTTGACTTTTCAGAGAAGGGTAAGTAAAGATTGAAAGGAGGTCCGAATGAGGGTTTCAATTAATAAGCCTGTATCGACAACTGGACCACGTAAGCTTATTGAACACATCAGCGTGCCACATAAGCATTGTAACCGGGAAACCTTCTAAAATGGTGTAATTAAAAGATCAGTTACGAGTTTAATGGTCTAATGTACCAAAAAAAAAAAACTTTAAGGACCAAATTAGCCAAATGTGAAAAGTTACATGTGCTACAGTGACATTATCCCTTTAAGATAAAACTATTATGTATATTTTTAACCTAAAACGACAACGTATTTTTGTTTTTAGCCTAAAATACCAATGTACTGTTAAATTTAACCCAAACTAGCAACATATTTTTATTTGTAACCCAAAGTAACATATTGCTATTTTTATCGTGAAATAGTCGTAGAAAGAAAACTCGTCATCAAAATAAACTATATGTCTATATCTTGAATTTCATGTTTTTTTATCCAAAAAACATACTTATCTTTCTTAAAATATAATAGCATCTTACTTCTATTTTTTGCTACTAATACAGATACTGCTTTTCATTTTATACTCATAATAGCAACGTACTATTCAATTATATATTTCAATATACAACATCATCATCTTTATCATTAATCTAGAAATAAAGAACGTCATTTGTATCTTCAAACAATTTTACAAATTAATTGAAATTAATCATTATAAAATTATTGTCAAAACATCTAACTTTGTAAATAAATCTTTTGTTTCCAAACCTATGATTAATGATTATGTTTTTTAATTTTTAATATTTTTTTTAATTTTGTTACCCGTGGATTCCACAGGTTGTAACCTAAAGAGGCATTAAGATGGGCATTTGGTTCATAAATTGTTTTTGAAAAGAAAAAAACAAAAACAAAAGTGTGAATTTATTGATCTCTATTTAGACATATTCCTCCATTTATCCTTCAAGTCAGAAGGTGTCCTTGATGTATGAAAAACATGACGACCAAATTCCAAAACTTTCTTCCAAGGGAGGTTTTTGTTGGCTGTTGCTGAGAACTTTTGAACTCCTTCCTGCAACGTTTACAATTAAAGCAGAATTAGCAATTTAGCATATTTCACAAATGAAAAAGAAAACTTTTTAGGACCAAAATTGCAAAATATTAACTACACTAAGGGACCAAAACTGTAATTTACTTTAAATTCTAATGGAATGGAATTGGTGAGCTTTCATGAGCAAGAAATTGTAACCAAATGAAAAGGCAAGAAGTTTTTTCTTATAGAAGTTAGAACTGAATTCCAATTCCACACAAATCGCACAAAGATTCCTATGCTAATCATTGCAGCTTTTATCAAAAAGATTTCCTGTTAACAAAAGTTTTACAACATACCTTAAGCATATCTTCTTCTTCTTCACTCCATCTTTTACGCTTTCCTTTCAACAATTGTTGTTTTCCATTGAATGCAGTAGTTTTCTTCTCAGAACTCCCTGCTTCATCCTTAACTGGAACCCCTTTAGCATTCATCCCCTGTTCTTTACATGCATCACCATCATAAACAACCATAATCCTACATGTACTACCATCACAAACACCAGAAAATTCTCCATTCCTGTTAGGAATCCGATCAGTTTCCTCAGATACAGAGGTTTCATGTTTACTTTCAAATGGTGAAGAGAAAGATTTAGATTGGTTTTGAGCGATATTTTCACCTAAGAAAGATGACAAAGCTTTCTTTGCTAACATGGCTTTATCTCTCAATTGACATGTTTCTGTAGTCAGTCGTCTGTAAACACAGTAAGGACAACAGAAGTTGCCAGTTTCATTGAATCGAGGGCTGCAACCCATGCAATCTTCATGAACAGATATAGGGCAGCCATTGTCGTTGCAGACCAAAAGCTTCCCGCCTCTCTCACATAGCACACATACTTCCTTTTCTGTGAAATCCATCATAAAAACACCTTCGATCTCATCTACTACGATCTAACGCAAGCTACACATAGAACATTAATCTGTAAGTAAGAGCAGTTTTGACTTTCAAACTCAAATTATTCGTCTTGCTAAGAAGAACGTGAATTCTGGAAAATTGGTGATGCCTTGTGTTTAATAACATAAAATCAATAGTTTTGACCTAAATCAAAGAATTCATCCGGTTTTCGCATTACGCCGTAACCTAATTTCATCACATTCATACATTCATATATATATAAAGCCGGAAAAAAATAGGAAGAAGGAAATGTGAACTATTCGAAACATATGAAATTATTGAGAGAAATTTACCAGAAGACGCCATGGCTGAGTGTTAGGTTGATTCGAATAAAGGGGAAACATACAGTGAAAGGGTTTTAACTAAATTGAAGCAAACTACTTCTTGGTGATAGCAAATTTGATTTGTAAAATCGATCGATTGTAACTTTGTAAGAAGTGGACTACCCCCAAGTGTTAGTGTTGATCACGCCTTTTTTCGGCCGATTTTGAACTTGTGGATGGCCGGAGTCTATAAATTGGTGAATTTTATTGACTTTTTAATAATCCGATTAATAAAGAATGAGCTTACAAACATAATACGAATTTTGGTAATTTGATTATCATGATGAGGTTTAAGATTCCGGTTAAAATTTGAATATCTTACGATTTTGATCTGACAAACTGAAAATATTGAGTCCTAGGTGAGATCCTGACCATTCTCATCCTATCTTTCTTTTTCTTTATTAGACGAGTTGGTACAGGCAACGCTGGAGGATGTTATTCCGACGTGACCTCGTAATAACGCCGTTACAACACGAGGAACACCACCTCCGGTCCCCTTTTTTGGCGTTATGGTATCGTGTGTTATCGTGGCAACGGGAAGAAACACAATGCATGTCGTCGATTTTTTGGTAACTGTCAAAAATGGACCGTTGAAGAACAGACGAAATGTTTAAAAAAAAGCTATTTTTTTCAATTTTTACTCACCATATATATACATTTTCACTTCATTTTTTACATACCATTTCTCACTTTATTTTTTACATATCATTTCTCAAATAATTTTTTACACCCAACACAATATAGATCAAAACCCCAACACTCCTCAAAACACAAATACATCTCATCCTCTTGGTTTTGTACAATATGAAGTTGTACGCTAACATCCTCAACACTCAAGGCACACTGCAACTTCCAATTTTCGGCAACTTTTTCAATCTCGCCTCATCCCTACCACAATTCCCTACAACCCTTCCACAAAACGTTTTCAATACATTCGCTACAATGCAACAAAATACCACACAACGACCACCTACATAAGAAAACGGTACCCGAGACACAAGGGGAGGAGCCGGAAAAAAACAGCCAACAAAGGGAGAGCAAAAAGGAAAGAGAAAGTGGTCGTGGTGGAGCAATCGGAAAAAGAACCTCCAAAATGGTGGATTGCGGAGGAAGCATACGTGTTGGGGTGGTGGTGTGGAACATCAAAAAATCCAACTCAGGGAAACGATATGAGAAAAGTTGTTTTTTGGGAAGCATTGATCGGGAAATTTCGAACCATTTTGAAGAAGGATGAAAATTATCGCAATCACGATATGTTGAGTAGCAAGTTGACTCAAATAAGCAATAAGTGCACCAAGTTCAATTCCAACTACAACAAACTTTCCTCGCACAAGCAAAGTGGTGCGAACGATTTTGATGTTTTATAAAACAATGAATGACGAATATCATGTCGAGATGGGTCACATTTTCGAGCACGAAAATATTTGGGATAATGTTAAGGACGACCCAAAATGGAATAAAACGGACACATTTTCGGAACAATAATCCAAGAGGTCTTGCGGCTCACGTTTGGTTGACATTTCAGACACGTGCACAAACATCGACCTCAATGCGGACACGGATGAGCTACCGAACAACTTCAACGACATCGAAGAGATCTCCCCGCCTCGACGATTGATAGGTCGCGACAAAGCAAGATGGGCTCAACGACATGCAGAGGAAATCGAAAGTAGACTTCAAGAGCAAGCGGAAATTTGACCCCCGCAACGAAATCACGCTTAAAAGATATGAATTGCAACGTGAGCATCTGGAATTTCTTCTTCGAGAAGCAGAGGAAGATCGCATGACGAAGAATTTGGCAATTCTTCAAACTAGTGAAAAGAATATGCCACCGAGACGGGTGGAAGTGTTCCCAAAAATGAAGGCGAAGATCGAGCGGAATATTTAGGCAAAGAGTGTCTCGTTTTATGTTTTTAAAATTATTAGGACTATCGTATGTTTTCGGTTAATGTTTTTTTTTCCTTGGTAATGTCATTTTTACTTTTTAAAAGGTATGTTTAAGTATTTAATTTAATTATGTTTTATTAACTTATATGTTTTTTTAATAATATTTTGACATACACTAGAAATAATAAAACAAATTAAAAACATCAAAAAAATAAAAAATAAATAGAAAATGGTAGGTGTTATTACATGTTATTTGGTATTGCTTATTTCTACGTTGGGTGTAATAACACCAAAAGTATGATTATGATGATGGGGTAGACATTTTCGGTATGATAACATATAATAATATGTTACCCACACCCAATAACCTTATGCAGTTGGGTTTAAAAATTTCGTTCAATCAGGTATTACAGGTTACAAAAAATCTCGTAGTACATCATCATCACACATACTCATCTCGAGTTAGGTAAAACATCATAACATTCATGTTATTCTCATTAGTCGTACATATTAATGATGATCCTGTTTTTAGATAAAACTCAAATTTGGTCATGTGTTTGTCAAAGAAAAAATGGGGTTCAAGTTTATAAGCTTTAATTTTGTACAAATCTCCTTATGAGCATGTTTCGTTGTGAGCTTCGTATGATTGTAAAACCTGACATCTTTTTTTTGCATGGAAATATATTTTTTTTTACTTTGTTGTTTAATCAAATATATGTGTTTTGGGAAGTTAGTTTAAATTTCATCGCATTGACACTAGGCTTTATATGGAAATCAAGTTGAAGCCCCATAAAAAAATTCAAAACTTAAAATTGGTAACAAATATCGATAAATTCCCCATATGATCATATTATACTAATGTTCACTCATTAGAAATAAACCGAAACTACTATAAGCAACTTTCCGAAAAAAAATACATATAATGCATACACTACATCCACACATCTTCAAACTATGAGTAAGATGTTCATAATTGTTTTATCCCCACATGTGCTAGATTACTTACTTGTGTTTTATTATTAAGGCAACGGAAACAAAATACAAAATAGTTTATCAAGATCCTTAGAGTACACAAGTTAGTCTCTATAATGATTCGTGTAGTATCAAGTAGGATCATAGATGTTTACTATAATATCTTCTTTGTCGTCACAATTATCATTCGAATTGTATGTTTTCATCTACATAAGAGATATTTTCTTACAATCACGATCCAAGTTATTCTTCTTTAGATTCTTCCACAACTTCATTAACTTCATCCACATTCACTGTTACCGATTCTCTATGTTTTTCCATATTCGATTGAATGTTATAAAAATATAGTATTATCTCCGAATACATTTTGCTCCACTTGAACTAATTCATCATTACAATCAAATACTACTTGTTTGATAATAAATCTATTGATAACTCCTCTCATACCATGAAAATTATTTATTTAATTTTTTTACATTTAGAAAAATATGATTCAAAATTTCTAGTTAAGGACATCCTTTAAAAAAAATCAATGTTACTAAATTAACATTACATATTATTAATAAAGTTAACATAATTAATGCATGTAGACAAACTCTACATACCTTATATCAATCAAACTAAATATTATACTAACTTATTTATATTATTTGTTCAATTACATAGGTTCACCGTTCCAATTTTTTCATTTGTAATTGTCAATTGAACTCACAGTTAAATGTGAATTATGAGTATGATAGCATGTGTGAGTGTTATTCTCTATTGACTTTGACTTTTGTTGTAGCCACAATATTCAAATCCTGATAGTGTTCCACTAAAACATGAATATGTAATGTTAATTTGGCCCTAAACCTCAAATATAGTTTTAAAAATTGAGGTGAGATTCAAACCTTTAGTGCCGTACATATGTAATGTCTTTTATATTAATATCTAAATAGATTAATAGCATGTAATTGTACCTTAATTAATCTCTATTCTAATAAAGAATAGTTTTTAATCTTCTTTTGATATGTGTCATCATATTAAGTCTCCTAATTAACACATATTTTATTCTTTTTTTGTTATATATCACCCTATTAAACCTCTTAATTAATGAATGTCACTTATCAACCTATTAATTCTCTATTTCAAATTTTAAAATTTCCACTTTAATTACAATAAATTAATAACAATGTAATAAAAATTAAAATAAATTTAATACAAATTATGGTGATATAATTTCACATATTTATTTAAAATAATGATTATAATTAATTAATAATTTTTTGTTCTAACTATTAAAGTTTAATTAATTTTGTAGCCGTGGTTTCACGGATTATAAACTAGTGTATTATTATTTTTGTCATATAATCAATATTAAACGAAATTTTCAATTGGAGGCTGACATCGCCTGCACACCCCTGGACCCCATGTCATTTTTAGCTTTGAAACTGAAGAAAATGTTGAGATTGCACAAAATATCAAGAATAATGAACATTTTTTTGTTGTTTATTGAAGGGCAAATATCATATTAGCCCATTAAACTTGTCGTGTTTGTTTTAAAAGGTTACCCAGCTTTTTTTTTGTACATTATGAGAATGAACTATCGTTTCTATTTTAAAATATCCTTATATGACCTGACCTGATACCGGGTAAGCCTGTAAAATGTGTGCATTGAAACATCATCAAGTATCAACTTTCTAACCAAGCTATTGACTTGTTCTCAGGAATGCATAATTCCTTCCTAAAATGAAGTTGGTTATCAATTCAATTCTTTGTTGTTTGATTACATCTTATTCCAATCTAATGAATCAAATAGGAATGTGTAATTCCTTCCTACAATCAACTCCATCAAGTCTCAACTTTCTAACCAACCTAATGAATACACCCTTACTAACATTCTTGGATACATCCTTATCAATTCAATTATTTTTTTTTATTACATCTTATGCCAAATGCAATGGAATTGATAAATCAAGAAACGTATTCAATGAAATCAATACAGTAAATGTAGAAATATAACAGAAGTTGATGATGAAATTCAGAATGTTTAACAAGGCAATTCCATAAATTGAATATAAAATAACAGAAATTGAGGTTGGAACAAGATTTCTGGTACAAATCAACTAGAAATCGAGGAGACAAATCGAATTTTGTCAAAGTAGATCAAGTACACAAAATAAAACCGATGATGATGGCTCACATGGTTGTACCAAGAAATCACCCATCTTTTCTGAATCTTAAGAACAAAAAAACCAAAAAACCACCTAGCAATCTTAGGATGCGTATTCATAAAACAAGCCCTAGAAATAGAAGAGCAACCATATTCACAGCAAACGGAATTCGACGCCATCATCAATTCAGCGGCACCATCGATGACAATTACAACTACCACCAGTTCGGCACCACTATCAACAGTACAACCAACATCTTCAAGGAGAAGGTGTAAAGAGGCGAAGAGGAAGGGCTCACATATCAACAACA